ATGTATATGTATGTTAACATATATTATATATATAACTAACATATATTATATATATATATATATAAAATATAATGTCGCTACTTCGTGGATTTTCACTTATCGCAGGGCGTCTAGAACGTAACCCCTGCAATAAACGAAGGACTACTGTATCCCTTTAAACTTACTCTACAGCACCTCTTAGCTTGCTTGTTAAAGTTATTAAAAATCTGACATAGCCCTTTTAAAACGTTAAAAACGTTAAAAAGTTAAAACTTTCTACACATTAGCTAACTGCTTCAAGCCTTTGTTAGTAAAGACAGAGCCAAAGCAGTGTTATTAATGAACTACCGACGTACGTACAAAACATTAATATTTACATTTTAAAGTCTGATACGTTAGAAACTCAAAACCTTGAAGCAAATTTAGCAGAGAAACTGATTTACACATTTTTAATTAAGATTGTTCGATGTTGTGGTGGAGCAAGGTTAAAAAGTTTAGCCCTTCAAACACAACCAGTCTTGTTAAGCCCCTCTTTTCTCGCTGTGAGCTGCTTGTAGTCAGATTAGTGCAGTGGAGACGACATGAATGAATGAACATCAGGTCGGACGATGTTAGGAGAAGAAAACCGTTTGGAGTACAACATTAAATCACAATTGGAGGAGAATTTAGTTCAGTTCTGACCTTTTCATCTCCTGTCTTTTCTAATAAACGCATGGTCCCATGATAATACACTAACAAGCAGTTTAGAAAACTGTCTCCCTATAAGGTTTCTCACTGGACGCAGAGCTAGTTTACAGTAGATGCAGATTCTCTGACCTTTAGCAGTAAAATATTAGCTGCTTGGTGTGGATTTGGACGCCTTGGACAATCATTAACCTGCAACCAGCGCTCCCTGTGAGCAAACACAACACACACACAAGCACGCTCTGTTGTCCAGCTCGAGAATGATCCCATGCAGTCCTTCAGTCGCTCTATGGCTGGAGATTTTCTAGCCAAAGTGTACATCATTCCTCTAAAGTGCACGGTTTCCTAAACAATAGAGTCTGTCATGGAGGATCAGGGTTGCTGTAAGGAGGCAAACACTGTTTTGGCTGTTTCTATAGATACTGCTGTACAGACACGCAGGAATGCAGCTCAATGAAGCAAAAACTTTTAACATATTTACGCACCGCACAGGAAGCGTCAGTGGAAACCCTTCAAATGCACACATTCAAAAGAACCAAATAAATCATAGGTTGTTACTTTAGCAGCAATTAACTTAAAGCGTAGCCATACCAAGCACCAGTAACTCTATCTGGTCCTCGTTGGTTCCCTCCACATCGTCAGCGATGGTCACTTTACAGAAGTACACTCCGCTGTCACCCCACTGCAGCTCACCGATACGAAGGTCAGCTTCTGCCAAAAGACAAAAACAGGATTATATTTGCACAGTGAGGGATCAATGGGTTCATGATGCAGGTAAACATGCAGGTGCTGAATCTATTATTCCCCACTGAGTGATGCTTTGAATAGAAACCCGTGTTTTGCGATGATAAGACCTGAGTAATTCAAGCGTTTACGTGTGAATAGAAGTGTCAGTTGTGTGCTAAACCGCAAAAGGCGTATTCAAAGAAACCAGTCAGCCATGATTCATGTCAGGTGGTTAAACAGCTGCAGCAGCTCCTAAATTCAGGTGTTTTCATGGAATACAAGATTGATGGCATTACTGTTATCGATGGAAATGTCTCGGCCTTTGTACTGAGCTCCCAGGGTCACAGAGGTCCCCTGCGTCGAAGCCACAGGTCGGACGGTGCGGCTGCTGTCGGAGCACTCCAGGTGGGCCGTGGCTCCCAGCTCGGAGGCCTGGACGCCCAGAGTTTCCCGCAGGCTGAAGGCGTCCCGTGTGCGGTCCCGACAGTAGGACTTGTACCACCACTGCACCATCGGGGTTTGCTTGGAGTGCGTTTGGTACTCGCAAGGAAGGACTACGGACTGGAAGAGGATCCTGATCCGCTGCTTCTCCCGTGCTATGACGTGCACACCATCACACACACACACTGACACACACATGCAAACAAAGAGGAAGATTTAAATGTTAATGGATTTTTTAAAGTAAGAAACAGGTTCACATATTCACATTTTCTACAATAACTGTTTCTTACAGATGTAGAATAAAAAGCCTTGAAATATTCAGTTCAGTGAAGTAAATGATGAGTTAGAACAACAATTCTTTTTTTGAAAAAGTGAAACCTGTAACATTTGGGGGGTATTTTCACCAAGAACATATAATCAAAAGCAGTATTACAAATGAACCCATACATTTAACTACTTTTATGTTCATGCACACTCAGTTCAATTCTCATTTTTACTTAATATGCATCTTTCTGTTCTGTAGGAGAAAACTAGGTAACTACTGAACCTGACAAACACAAAGCCCTCAATGCTGAACCAAGATTAAGAACCTTGAATCCTTGAAGATTAAAACTCCTTTTACTATGAACTGATCACAAAAGCAGCGAAATACAATTTTATTCAGACAAGCATTATGAGTGTGCTTTTCCTATATCATTCACATCCTTTACTGTTTTTAATGTTTTGAGTTTTACTGTGAAGCGGTTCATAGGCTGCAGGTGAGCCCGTGATCAGAAGGTTGCTGGTTCAACTCTCTGGACTGACAACAAAAATTTGGGTCGAAGAGGTGAAACACTCACACTTGCCTCCATCCTCATTTGACCCCACTCTGGGCCCTTGAGCAAGGCGTTTAGCCTCACAGCTGCTTCCTGGGCACCTTAGATGGCAGCTCTCTGCTCCACATGAGTAATAGGATGATTAACAACCCCATCCAAGGTGGTGGACCTGGACCTTCTGGTCTGTGGTGGACCTGGATACCATGGACCACAGAGAGCAGCTGAAGGTCTAGGGGTTTGGATCTGTAGCTTCTAACGATGCGTTCACTGTCCTGGTCTGTGGTATATTCAAGGACTCATGGTCCTGTGGCGTTCTTTTATGACTGTCTACTGTTGTCATCATTCTTTGTTAAAATCAGGCCTCTCTTGTAAATGAGTCCTTGAGGCTCAATGAAACTAACCTGTAGAAATAAAGGTTGAATTAATAGAGTATATATATATATATATATATATATATATATATATATATATATATA